TGGAGAGCTCGCAGATCAAAAGTGAAGCAGGAGACATGGGCCGGGAGGGTGCCTGGGGATCCGGAGAAACGTCCGTTCCGCGTTGACTCTCGGCTCGGCGAAAGGGAACGCACGTCCGCAACTCGGTAGTTACAGCCGTAGCGCCGATAAGCTCGAGGATCCCGCTCCGGAGAACATTGGATTGCATGCGCGATCGACTTCTCCTCGGACTCCTCCTCCGCCGGGCTGCGTCGAAGCCGTCGAGCGCACCGGAATTTTCTCATCTTCCGGAAACCCCCGCCGATACTCGTGGCAGCCGAAAATACCCGCTGATGACGGCATGGACTATTCAGCGAACACTTTCCGCATTTCTTCGCACGCCAGCATTTCCCATCCCGCTTTTTAATCGCCCCCTTTTTGCTACTCATCGGTTTCCAAATAATGTTCAGTATAGTAATTCCTACCCGTTGCTTCATCGCAGCCTATTCAAGTAGTAGAGACAAAAAACCGGATTTCTCGCAACGATCCTGGGAATTCCCCGCAACAGTTTCAATTATGTTTTTTCCCCGAGGGGAGTTCTTTAAGTTTCATCAATCGAAAAAATTTTTTTAGAAAGTTTAAATACAATATTCATGCACGTGGACTTCATAAATCAGAGTTCATCGGATTTTTCCAGGCCCAAACAGATCAGCCATTTATGTAAAAGGATATGTATATTGTTTCAATTCACATCGCGGTAGAAGATACATCTGTAAATTCTACAGAAAATTGTTCAATGTAGATTCACAGGTTACTCATAAAGCTGTCACTTCTATACAGTCTGCCGGAATCATTCATTCTTAGAAAAACTGTTAACAAGGGATATCTACTGCAAAATAAACATTTCAAACACGCCGCGACTCATGGAAAACTTCCTTCGCAGATGAACACATTTGAAAAGAAAATTGTGACAGGGAATTCGTTCAAGTTATCAGGCAACAATTCACCGCTTATACTTTTCAGCAAGAAGTAAAAATAAAAAACTGATGCGTAAATTGTTAAATTCTCCGCGAGACGACGGTAAGAATCAAGGGTACATCACAGATCCCGACTGCTCGTGTACTCCGCCCTAAAAACAAAGGTATCAGCAGCCAGAAACTAACCAGTTACAGAGAGGAAAATTGTACGGTTTTCGTAACAACCGTGAATGCAATGAATTAATCCACCTGTCAATCAATGTTGCCCGCATTTCCGTACCACGCAACTGTCGATCACCTTCTCAATTAACCACGCGGAAGCCCCGTTACTCTCGTGTATGCTTCGTGGTTTTACCTATGTTCCCGAGAAGGCAATAGCAATAAAATATAAAAAAAATTGCAAGCATTGTATATCACTAATTTATCGATCGACAAGAAAACTATGGATTCTTGAACACAATAATAGAGACAAGGTCCAAAATAATTGATTCGAAGTTGAATTTCTGTATCAAGCCCGGGGCATATGAATGGAAGCATCTAATTTCAATTCAGATTTTTCGACTTCTGGGGATAACAACACGCGAAGAACGTCAATGTATCCATCACTCTGACAAAAACGACACGGAAAAACAAACAAAAAAACGGCGGCACTAAAAGTAATCAAGATTACCTCATTAGTCACCCACGGCATCAACAAAAAGCACCAGCGTGACATAGAACTGGATACCTTCCACATTCACGCGGGTCAGGTTCAGGGGGGATAAAATTAAATATCGAGAACACGCGTTTCCACAGAGAGGTCGGAAAAAAACTAGCTGAATATACGAGTACATTATGGTCACCGAAAAAAATAATACACTCAAACGAACGATACCCACTGTGTGAAGATCGGAAAAACTAATTGCTTAATATGAACTCCAGTTTCGATAGGACATCGAGAAGTATAGATTTACTGCGTAAGATCCGCTGAATGAAAACATTTTCCTCGAATTTACAACCAAGAAAATCAAAGAACTCAAGAAGGCTGCAAATAGCTGCATTTCATGAACAGCCCTCCGCACATAAGGATCATTCGCACAACATTTTCACGAAGTCCAGATCATTCAAACTAACCCCAAATGAAAATATTACTACAGCACACAGCTTGTATTACAGTATTAAATATCGATGGCTACAAAACTCGTCACTCACGCATAAAGAATTGCGATTCGCATAAAAATTGCGATTACCAAATGTTTCTAGTGCTAAAAGTAAGAGCGTAAGAGAGTAGAATTTTACAGGCATTTAAAAAAATCCGATTATCTGAAGTGGAATAATTTACAAAAACGGCTTCATTCCGACAAAATGAACGTGAATATCGAGTAGAAAATTTAATTTTTTTGGAAATATTGCCAAGAATCTAATATATTCTTTCAGAAGAACAGACGGTTGTTTACAACGTTCAAATCATTAGGGCTAACTCATCAAGTCGACCATAATCGCTCAGAGAAATAACTCTTCGGGAAAGCCGGTGGCGCATCAGGACTGAAGAGCTTCAAGTAAACACATTTCTTGATCAGAGCAAATAACCACGATTACGGCATGACATACTATAGGAAAAGTTCGATGGAACAAATTACTTTTTATTTCTAGCGCGAGATATTGATGAATTTATGAACAGCTTGGCGAACACAATATGCATACGAGAATAGGTCGCGTCTGGAATTTGAGCCCTTCTAAGGGGATACGTACAAGCCATTAAATTTTTTTTTCAAGTGCTCCAAAGAAGAATCGTTTAAACTTTCTACACAAAGAACGACGAATCCAATACATGTTCAGCCGGCCATGCATAGAATTGCTGCGCTAAATTGTGATGGAGAGTGAGTCTGATGAGAGAGTTACAGTACTTTGGCCTTCACTACAGATCTTGTATCTAGAAAGGTGAGAACGTATCTTTGATTTTCTTGGTTACTTGTTCTCATCAGATATTGTGGCCTACACGCGCATACATACTGTGATTCTCATTAAGACCGTGCGAACTCAAAATAAACTCCCGCGTTGCCATTTCTCGACTTTATCAACAGAAGGACCTGGAGGACTAGACAGGGCCATTTTTCGCCCACCGAAGGGGTCAGCGCGGATTTCGAGGTTATTCAAGCTTGGCGTAGTAACAGCTCGATGGCGGGCGATAGGACGCCAAGAACCCTGGCCCACGATCTAACCGGGAGCCCCTGAGACATGTTTCCGAGAGCCCTCAACTTCTGATGCAAGCCAGCAACCCCCGAAACTGGTCCGGAATCCAGCACTCGTGCGAGTGGGCGGGAGCCAGCACAAGGCTCGCTGCGCCACGGAGCGCCGCAGCGACCAGTTCCTACATTTCACGCCGTCTTCCAGCGTTAATTATGGACACAGTCGAGACGACAATAATTGATCGACTCCGCGCTCACAGGCCCTCAAAAGGAAGTCATGGCGCTGCTCATTCGCATTGACGAGGCCAAAAGCAGACGCGGATTGATACAAAGACGAGTTATTTCCATTTGTCACAAGGAGAGAGAACCACTCGAAAGACTCGTTCAAACAAAGTACGAGAGGCTTATATCATGCAAATCTCGGAAAAATGCAGCGGAGTCGTCCTCCCATGCTTCTTCGTTACATAAGATTGCTGCCAAGAGAAACAACATTGGTTTAGTATTGGTTATAATCACTCAACGGGTAAAATCAACTCGTTTACCAGCAGTATCCGTGTATTCCTGACTCAAGCACTCGTGAATTGATTCAAGCCGAGACACAATACATTCGTCAGTCAGAGGAGACCCAGGTATATGAACATACGATATAATCTTGACAAGGACTAAACATTTAAAGATGCTGTATTCTTGCCTTGCTTGAAAAGTAAGCAGAAGACAGGGCCATTTCCAGGGTCCGTCTGAATCGTACGACAGAAAATATTCCCTAGGATTCGTTATAAACCGACTTCATCGCGGTCGGGGAAATTCACGAGCATCTCGGAATATTTTTCGATGGCATCGCCGGAAAACCTCTACGGCATGTGAGCGAGGCATGCCCTACAGAGGAATCTAGGGCGCGAGAGAACCGGAAATCTGCATATCTTACTCCAAAGACGATTCCTTCGTCTGCCTCATGCACACGCAGCAGGCGAGGGCAACACGGGCTCACTAATCAATCAACATTTCTCCCCGCGGAATCCTGAAGGATCCAGGGTTCAAGCAAAAAAAAAATGAGCCAAACTTCCTTTGCGTTCATTAGCAGCGGCAGACGAATGACTACACTTACAAGGATTCCATTTTGCTCAACAACCATCGCGACGACGAATGCTCGTGCGAGCAGCTATGCTTCGTTTCAAGGAAAGGCCGTCTATGGGGAGAGGGGCAATCGAAACGGCGCCGTAAGGGCGGAACTCCTGAGTACAGTACTGTACTTGACAAATGATTGGGGGACGGAAACCAATCCGCGAACGCACGATGATTAGCGCCAACACGGAGCATTTTGACAGCTCCAAGTTATGTTTCCGGTTCCAAGGGCAGCACGTTGAGTTACAACGTGGAATGTGTCACCAAAGACTAAACGAGTCGAGAAATATATTTATTCACAGGTTTTGACTCCTAGCTGGATCTGCGAAAGATTCAGGGTTGATGAACCAAAAAGCATTTTTTCCAAGTGGCTCCACGAAGAGGTAAAACGAAACATTTTCCCCTGCTCGGAGACAGTCTGCAATTTCAAGTATTTCTCTCATGGTAAAGTGGCACACGGAAAAAGGCAGGACGTAAAATTATAATCAACAATCGGTACTTCGTAGACACAGAAGATATCCGTTTTCCTACACAGCTGCGCGTTGAGATCAGTCACGTGCTCGGTTGCCAGGCGACGGATCCGCAGCAGAGCATCAATAAATCGGAATTTCGGTGAGAGAAATCATGTCCGTCAGAGACGCAAGAAAGGGTGTAGGGAGAGTGTTTCGTTCGCCTGCAGAACACATGCAGGATACAGATGTTCCAAGTGCGACCAGAAACAAGGGGGACTTTTTGCTCGCCGGGCAAGTAAGAAAGGGAAAACAGCTATACTCACCGAGAAGTAGAAGTCTGTGGGTAGCTCGGAAAATCCGCTTATCTTTCTGAATTTGCTCATTAATTTTCCGATTCTGCGCGGCTTGCTTTTTGTGATCATGGGCACTGTCAGTCCCAGTGCTTCCAAAACAGCCCATATCATTCGTGATTCACAGGTTTAGTCCTGATCCGCCACTAGACCGTCATTAATCGAATGCCGAAGAACCTGCGGCCAGGCTCATAGGCATGTCACAGACACGACCGCATCGATACAACGACAGCACGTCGCGGCGACACCGAAATGGAATGCGAACGTTGCAGGTTCGGTGCTTCCACTACTGGAATCAGCCGCGTAGCCCTCCATAAGTTCTGGCCCAAGCTTCTCGGCGTTAACGGTGTGCCATGCGACCGCAACACCAACACACAGTCAGGTCCAAAATACCAATCCGTGAGGCACTCTGGCCGGATTATCACAGAGCCTTCCACGATCCTATCAGCCGCTCCAAGTGGATGACATTTTTCACACACTCATTAAGATCCCCATGCTCCTATCACGGAGAGACGCGTGACTTGAGGCACATGCGTGTCAGTTCAATGTCTGCGCGTCGGTTTCATCGTCCTCACAACATCCCACATTACTCCAACATCACTATTACACCTGCATGAAGTTTCTACCACTGATTAAACGTACAAAATCCGAGACCCGATGAAATTGCCCGCCGAAGTACAAGTTCATGCATCAAGGAAGATAATTTCGCAGAGCTTCGGGCAAATTCATAGAGCTTAGCCTTGGCAAAAAAAAAAAAAAAAACTAACGTTCGGTCCATTATAGCTGGAGCAATAAACTGAATCATTAGTCGAGTTCAACAAGCCATTTCTCGACATAAGCCGCAGAATTTCAAGTTATTACGGAAGACCAATGCGACACTACCCTGGTCTTAAACGTTTCAATCGCACTGTAAATTGAAAACATGCAGTTCAGAGAAGCAGATAAATCCGTCATTTGACTGGACCAGACCTGATCCGACCTCGTGAAAAACATGCTCTAGAACCGTTACTTTCACTTTCCTCAGTATATATTGTGAACACATCGATAAACACGTTTGACACACCCCATTCATACCAACTATTCCAGCGATAAATTAAATATAAATTCTCGGCACCATATCGCAAATCCCGACGAAAAAATGCATCAACGTAGCCTAGTATCAAAACACGCATTTTAAACTTAACCGCATTCCGATACAAGTTCATACTATATTTTCAAACGCAGCGGTTACTCCCACGACAAAGTCACTCGACGAGTTCACACACGACCAGCTCGCACAACGTCCAACCGGTAACTCAGCTCAGGCGCTCAAATGTCCCCGTGCTGAATTCGAATACAGATCGCGCGGGCGAGATCACAGAGCTCACTCCAGGCAAGCCGCATGGAATGAACGCGCACTGCGGCAGCCGTCCGTACCGCCCACAGGCAGCGATATACTCGGGCACCTCGCGATATTTCTGAACAGTTAGGGGTTTACCGTATGAGCATTACGCGTTTCGTGGTAACGCGTTTGCATTTTAGGCGCACCTTTAAAAATTACTGCTGCATGAGTTCCTTCTAATAATAAGCTGTATCGGAATCGACTTTATGCGGAATAAAGACGTGAATATGTTGCTTTCTTGCTGCAATGAAGAAAAACTTTGGGACACGGAAGTGTCCCAAAGTTGTAGTTGGGATCAACTGAAGTGAAGAAAGTATAAACAGAATTATTTTTCGCGGTACTTTTCTACCATGACGGTTAATTTGAAAACAGATTGAAATCATAGAAGACAGTCATTTCTTTCGATTGAAGTTAACATTCGAACCTAAACTGCACCTCCGCGAGTAACGGGCATTCTTGAGCATTCCCTGACGAACAGAAAGCAGAAGCCCGCGTGAGGAGCGGAGCCATCGCGGAACATTATCACGGCGCGAATTTCGCCAACCAATCAGCGGGCCTCTCGGGGCAGCCATGCGTGATGAAGGTGCCACAGTTTCACCCAGCTGCGCTCGTTCTGGAGGTCGCCAACTTACGCGTTTAAACGCGCTCTCGCGACGGTGCCTCCGATAAGTGGTGACATGACTTCCATACATTTTCGCTTGGATTCCGATTCGATTTGGCAACCTGCGATGTTGTGGGTGCATTTCCAGCTGCTCTTCGGGACCCATCCGATCAGCTCGTGGGATTTCCCGAGGATTCATGAGAAAGACCGAAGATCTTGAACTTTTTGTGTGCGGGAACTGTCGGTCGAGCGCGAATTTCAGTTTTGCAGCTGATTATTTCATCTAATGCTAGTTCGTTGACTTGGTTCTGAAAATGTTCCGCCTTACATCATTTGTCTACAAAAAAGAAATTGCTGACTAACCGGGTTTGAGACATCCAACACTAAGATGTTAATCCCATCTCGATGAAGGAATTGTCAATTCATTCCAACTTCGAAGGCATAATGTTCAGCATAAGGAGAACATTGTACAGTACCTTGCGAGCTATTCGTTAAATGGAGACGTGACGTTCTCTATCGGTAAAATTTTCGTTTACTCGAATAGCCCCTCTGAGACACACAGAGAGATGTCGCCATATGTTTTTCGAAGCTCCAGCTTTCCTTCCTTCACGGACGCATAGAATGATCAGGTTCATGAACCTGGTCCAATGTGTTCCCCTTCCCTGAACTGACTGAATCAAAGTCGACGTGCTCAACGTTCAACAATCCCAGAAAATATATATTCACAGTGCAGGGTAGACAACTGTAGTGATCATTTTCACCAATAGAAAGCAAAAAAGAAAAAAAATATGTCTTCAATCTTGGATGCATGGATGGATTGCTTGGAAATAATCTTTCCACGCTTTTCCGTCATTCGGAGACAAGAGGCATCAGGTGGTTTCCAGGAGCTCCACATGATTCACTTATTTCCCTCATGGGATTTCCTTCCCAAATTCCGTCCCAAGAAGTACAGCATATACTGCATTTTGACTATCACAACCAATCGAACGAATTCATGGTTCATGATAGGAAGATTTTGAATTCGTCGTACACCAATGGAGGTACAGTACTTTACTGAAGTCTACTTCAGAATTCATTGGGAGGAGATGAAAACATTTATACACCCAACATACGATGCAATGAGCCAATTTTAGAAAGAGAAAGTGCACATCATCGTTCTCACTCAAAATTTAACATACCCGCAACAGGGCAATAGATATTTCTTCAACTACTGAAGTATTGCGCTGCGTTATAGAATTTTAACTAGAAAAACTTTTTGGCAAGAATACTTGCTACAGTGCATGCCAAAAATGCAGTTTCACATTTGCCTTTCGCAAGTTCACAATATCCGCAACGACAAAAAAGTTGCATCCATAAAACTTATACGATCAAAAGCTCAATCCTGAGGTTCACACGCTCCAAAGAGAGGGTATCACAGCTCTAAAAACCTTACAGTAATTGGATGCAAAATACATGAAAGAGTAGATTAGCAGCTTTCAAAACAACCGAGACAGTTTTTTTTCCTGAAAACGCCCTCGAGAAATTTTCAACGAGTAAAAGAAGCGATTAGTTTACAAATATTTTAAAATTGTCTTGCCAGCAACAATGGCAAGGGGTTTCTCAAGCAATCAAATAATATTTCAGGATACGGTAAATTCTTCACATTTTTGCAAATACAGAGAAAAATGTTCGACAGTTCTAAAAAGACACAGCACCACTTTAACCCAGACACAGTTGCTCGTCGAATAACACGCCTAATTCAGACGGAAAACTGAATGTAGCAAAAAAATATCCCACAGAGTTGTTAATCACTCCGTTTTCTCAACAGCAGTCAAATCAACACAACCTTGTTCAGTCGACGTTGCTGGAACTACGAATAACAGCAAAATAAGAAGAATCTGAAATGCAACGTCTGCTGCGGGCTTCTTCGTATCCGAAAAAGTGCCCCGCTCATTTCACTCAGACATTGTCAAAGCATACCAGAAAACCAATTCAACAGAGCCAGAGAAACATAGTAACGGTAGGTTGTTCTTGATTTTGTCAGCTGCATTGGCTGGATTCGAGTGCTGTCGCAAGGAAACTACGGCTTGGCTTCCAGAAGCGAGTCGGGGTTTTGATTCCTCTGCCAAGAAAGGGAACTCAGTTCAGGGGTGGCCTGCGAACATCCTTCATCTGCGTGACACATTTTTCTCTTCTGTCGAACTTCCCGTTGCTGCTTCCGAGCTTTCAGGTACTCTCGCAATGCTTCAACCTTAATTCTGGTTGTTTCATTCTCCAGGGCGAGTTGATCAGCAGAGTCAGCTATAATATAAAGATTCATCGTATCGATTTGATCATTAGTATTTAGACAGCACGGATATGTGCAGAGAACACTTACCAGATGCACTGCATTCGGGTTCTTCTTCTTTTTCTGGTTGTTTCTTTTCTTGCTTCGGTGGGCTTTGGTCACAGCTTCCTGGATCCTGACTGCTTTTGCGCTTGTGGTTGCAGAATGAGCCATGCCGAGGATTTGCGCCCAGCAAATCATTGAGGATGTGGATAATGGTTGCGATTCCGGGCCATGGCTTACCTTGAGTATCCTGCAGCTGGGGATTTAAAGTGCCTGCAAAATAGAAACAATTTCTCATGAAAATCCATCTGATCATGTCGGCCGTGTAATCATCAGAAAGTCCGCGTTACACTGCTAAGAAAAATGCATCCGGTCCAAATGTTCAAAGTTCAGAGAATTGGAAGAATCCATGGTAACTATGGGGATCCAAGGTCATATGTGTTTTTACCCAATGAATTTTTCGAATTGGATTACGGCTGGCACTAATATATATGTTAATTTAAAAAGTTGATTTATTTACTTATTTTTAAGTAAATCCGGTAAGGAATCTTGGGAATAAAGTACTGATAATCTACATCTGTATTCTGTACTGCAACTTTCGATAATCACGAGACTTGCTTTACGTACGTCCACAATGGATAATCAATTGTGTACAGCTTAAACTACTCAGTCAATGTACGAGTACTTTTTGAATAAAGTATTTTCAGCAGTTAAAATTATTCATCGGAAAAACTTGGGGGCTAAAAGAAGTCTTTTCTGAATAAACTGTCGTCCTTTTCAATCCCTATTTCAATTTTTTAGTTCTTACTGTACTGCATAATCACTCAACATCGTTTTTCTGTGTGGAAGTAACTGGAGAGGTTAAAAATTTATTCATCAGCATTAATTTTTCATTCACAAATTCAGGAATGCAGTTGAAAAAACCGCTTCTATCCCAGCTTTGTGATGCATACACAATAAGTATTATTTCCCAGCAGATTTTTGCCTGTGTAAAAAAAAAAAATTCTATACACGCAAGGAAGGTTTTTAGATTAAGATTTTGTAATGATGGATAAGCTGCTGCTCCTCTAGACTACCATTTTCTTTACAATTTCACGATTCATCAACTATGGTGAAAAATTAAAATCAATAATAGCACGCTGTTGTGTAACACCTTTAGTTGACTACGAGAAGCACAAAAAAAAGTTTGCTAAGAAAGCTAAGGGAGCCCTCTTCGAACCATATACTGTACTTTATTGGTACAAAAAATTCGACTCTGAGCCCAATTTTAATCTAAATTTCTGTGGGGAAGCGCTCGTCGCATTGCACTTGAGGTAAACATGGTCATATGTGTTGGTGAATTTGATCCCGAGCAAAAAAAGCATTTACCGCAAAATGTTCCGGAGTAAACGCCGCATCCGTGATGACGCATTTTCTCTATCACTGCCTGGTGCCTTCCAGATTGTTGCTTGCTTGAGGAATCCGATGATGAACTTGTGGAACTTGACGGTTTGCAGCTTTCGTCTTCCGGGGTTTTGTTGGAGCCACCAGCAGTGGAGTCAGCAGTTCCTTGCTGGCTCTCACCATGACCATTCGATGTTGACTGAACAGGTTCCTGAGAAACTTCGGAGGAACTCGGTCGTTCTGGCTTCGGTTGCTGGGCAGCCTCGTTTGAAGCACAGCAGGTTGACGCATGCTGCTTCCGCACTGGACCACCATGACTTCTCTGCAATATACAATTAAGCAAAAATATACGACACTGCATGATCGAATTGTGCAAAGCAAACAGTCATTCTTAAAGATATGTGTGCGGTATCCGAGAAGCAGTGAGGTGTCTCTGCCACACCCAATATAGGCCTTGCATAGAACAACAATATACACTTCGAGCAAATTGACAGTACTGACCCGGGTGAACGGGCTGACATAATAAAAAGGAGAAAAAAAGTTATCAACGAAAAATGGGACGACATTAACGTCAATTAATCAAGCGTTGTGACAAATCCGATCCGGTACCTCAGCAATATGATTCAAGTTGTGAACGAATAACATGGTCAGATCGAAATCAAAGGGACTCTGGGCTTTTTTTTTTTATCAAATCATTTATTTGTAACAAAATAGTTTACTGTATGTGCGATTCGACTAAGGTTAAAATCGGGTAAAGTTAGATTTTAATTCTGAAGTCCCCTGGCGATTTGGAAGGAACACTCAACTTAATTTACTTTTGATTTTCTCCATCGGAAAACGGAGTTCTGGTAATGCCGAAAAAGTTTTCAATCCTCGAAAACATAAAAGCAAGAATTTTCACGGGTTGAATGAGGAATAAAGCATACTGTACTGTCGGGCATGTGATGGGGGAAAAAAGAACATTGCAGCGACACCTTCCGATGAGGGAACTACAGTACTAACCTGCGTCGTTCTGAGAAATACGAAACATTCATCCTGAATCCATGTCCAACGCACGGAATTCTCCGCAGCGGCAGGTAGTATATAGGCCCCCGAAAAAATAAACCCGAAAGTATTTTTACAAACCTGGGAAGTTGCTGTTTTGAGGACTTCCAAAGAAAACTGTCGTAAGGCTTGGGTGAGATTTCGAGATGCTTCGGCTAAGGCCACAGTGTCCAGGGAAATACGGTACGGCTTTTCTGGACCGCTGGACGAACTCGCTTCATTTGCATCCGAACTCGAGGTTCCGACTGATGATGAACTACTACTCGGTGCGTGTACCTCGTGTTCCTTTGATGAATGATGACTGCTGCAAGCCCTCGAGCAACTCGGACTATTTTGTTTATCTTCTATAGAATAAATAAAAAAAATGCTGTACAGGTATTTAGAGAGAAAGAAGGAAACAGCGATTTAGGTAAAGCCTGGGGACACGAAACATTTTCAGGACTGAGGTACCGTATTCGAGCCACACAAAAACGCCGGGCACATGAAATGTAACAGTACCACATCTACGGTTCGACCGCATGACAATTTCAGTTGCCGGGCTAAAATCAACATTCAAACTCTGGGTAGGTTCAGAAGTTGTCAGTAATGTTATCCTAGCTTCTTGTATTGATAGAAGTGATGGACGAAATTCACGCAGAGTATCGTTTTCGGAGATCTGCTCAAATGTTCGCTTACCCATTTTGAAACATAAAAAATATGAAGGCACGCAAAAAATTTCCGGTGGTCCATGAGATCTTGAAAAATCCAGGGCTACCATTGAAGAAAATCCTCAGCGAAGGAGTAGCTTTGATTATATATACATATAAATATATATACCGTATATATATATATATACTGTACTGACAAAGTCTTCGCAACATTCATTGTATCTTAATGCATCACTAAATTTTTCAAAAGTACTGTACATTCAAAACGCGTATTTTTAGAACCGTTCCGTTGATTCACATGACTTAATTGTGAGCTCAAAGTGGAACTGAATTTAAGGTTCCGTTACCGTCGTTGTTGGCAGAATCGCCGGATGAAGCGCCAGCATCGTCTCCAGTCTGATTTGAAGCTCCGCCGACAGACTGGGAAGACGATTTGGACCCAGAACTTAATTGTAGTTGGATTATCATCATGTAATCCCCAAGCCTCATGGTTAAATTCAGCGGCGCCTTGCCCGAGAGGAAATCGTTGACCTGGTCGAGATAACGCGAGAAAACAACAACAAAAGCGAATGTAAAAATCAGAGCTCTCTGCTAGTACCATTTAAAGACGCCCTTTACCTGCGAGTCGTTCAGGCTCTCTAACGCTTGCATTACGCTTTGTTCCGGACGTAGAGTCTGTGGGCAAAGAATATAAATTAGTATTATTCGAGATTACATGCCGAGCGATCGTGCAGTTATGCCGCAGCTCGAGAGATTATTCCGACCATAGCAGTGTTTCTCCCGGAGCCGTAACCTCGATGTCCTAAAACCGACTCAGTCAGTCACGGTACAGTTTCAGGAGCTAACAAGACTGGTCGGAATAATAACAAAAGCGGGATCGGCGCCGCGTAATTAACCGCGGCACCCGTGACTCCTTACAAGGATCGGGTAAGGAAGACCCGGAAATTTATAATCCCGCGGCTTACGGGGTCTCAGTTATACAAACACGTCGAAGTCGACGTGATCCTTAGTCGCTTTGAGCGACTGCGGGAACAATGCTGATGGCAATTAAGGCTGAACTATTCCCACACCAGAGCGCGAACAGGAATACGACCGAAAATAATCGCTGTGAAGCGCGACGTCGCACGCAAGCCGTACTGGAGTTGACCGTGGGATTCAACCGGACAATTCTCAACAAAATTTTATTCATTAATAGGGACGCAAGCACACTTTTGTTCACGAAACCTCGCTTACTCCTCCTATACTCGGTCAAGCTTTTTCTTTCTTAAAGAACCACATCGATTCAAGGATTTGTCATTACTGTATATACTTTAGTGATGAGGTTATCAGCCCATGCTACGCGAGGACACGTGAGGATTCGCCTGAATTTCCCAGAGGGTCTTGCAGGGAAATAAGATAAATTAAAGTGAAATAACGTGTAAAACTGCAAAAGTAAAAGCGACAAAAATACTGCAAGACTCGTGTTCGTAACTCGAAGCAAAATTCATTGACAGGATGCTTCAATTTTTGGAGCAAAACGAAAATGTTTGAAGTCATATACTGTACTGACGCCAAAGAAACTTTGGTAAAAAAAACATTAAAATTTGATGTTGCTACAAAAAGCTTCTGAAAGCATCAGGCAAGGAAACTCGGATTTAATTTACTGAGTTGCAACTTAATATTATCCGGACTTCCCGTGCCCTGGTTTAAATTCGATCGGAAGAAACTGAGCAATCTACGTAATGTTCAGCTGAAACAATTTATTCCATTCAATAGACCAGAATTGTATAGGTGGATTCACATAAAATAAAGATCAGCATAATCCAAATCAGCAGCTAACAATTTATAATCTAATACGTAACAAGCGAAGAAAATAATGCATCAAATTGAGTTCTTACTTCATGAGAATATCCGTTGAGGGTCTTGTTCTTCGAAAATCGAAGTACAGTACAGTAGTTTCGTTAAACTCACGTCAGGACATTCTTGACTATATTTTTTCCATCCTGGAGTTAATGATATTTAATCTTTATTTTCGTTAATCAGCGATGAAGCATTCGATTTTGCGAACGAAGGCGGCTGGTCATCAGCCCGGAAAGTCGAGGTTCTATTGTTCTACAAAAAAATCGCTGACCTCGAGTTCAAGTTCCATTTCAAGCAAATAAATAGCGATTTTTTCAAGTCACAGTTCTCGAATGACTCAATCGAATGAATGCAGTTACCGTATCATGCATTCGAATCGCTGAGGGAGCAGAAAATTTAGAATTGCTCCTCAAAGATTGATCGAGCAAGCGTTGCGATCAACGTCAATTTGCTGCTTTCGCAGAACTTGATTCTCACGCAACTGTTATGAAATGCACGTAGGTTCCGTTGCTTTCATCCCGTGAGGTCACTTGCTTATGTTCGTGTACACTGTGCGAGGTTGTTTTTAAATGCGCTTGATACCCTCGAGGGATGAGCAGTAGTTATTAAATAATAATCACGGCTGTGGTGATTCCAAAGCGAGCTAACTGAAAAATTAACGGGAGTCGCGGTTCACTCTCCTCGACTATCTCGAAGCGTCAAGCTATGAAGCACACAGGCGATGATGGAACGGAAACGAGATTTTTGCGATTATCATATGCTTGTAAGAAACTCATTTGAAAATTTTCAGCGCTCGTTGAAGAGACTATCAAGATTCAAAATTAGTTTGACGGGAGCGAACCTGAAAACAGGTGGATTATCCTATTAGATTTCAGCAAAATTACTCTATTTGATTAAGCGTATTTTGATTGATTTATGAACAGAATCCAACTCCAACATTCTGACGAGGGGCATTCGCGAATGATTGGCATCATCTTGACATTTATACAAATGCCCAGTAACGAAACAGTCCAACGGTAGACGAGTGCCCAAAACTATGTAAAATGAAAGCAGACCAACTGATCATACTACAAATTGCAGTAATTATTAATCATTAAGAAGGAAGAGTAATTATTTTCTTACGGCTGAGAATTTTCGGATGTTCCGATAATATAAATAAGCCAATCAAAAGTAAAACAAAATTAAATTCTAAAATCTATTTCGGAAGTTTTGATTGGGATGAAACAATGCAAAAATAAGAAAACCGTGTTTTGTGCCTCCGCGGATAAGACATTAATGCAGACTTTATTCAATTAAACATTGAATATGCAGGGAAAAATTATGACGGAATTCCTTCGTCACATTGTTCCATTCAAACCAACATGGCCAAGTTCGGGATAGAATTTAACGTTTAAATTCTATTCTAGCTAAAATATTTTCGGAACATCATAACCAATTGAAAATTTGGAAATTTTATTTTTCTTTTCGTAGGTTTTCCTTCGACCTATATATCAAAAGAAAAAGGAGGAAAGACTTATTTTTCTTTTGGTAGGTGCTATTCTGAACTACACTAATGGTAAAATACTTGTGATTCTTCTGCCACGCGCCATTTTTTCCACGACTATCCGTTTCGGGTGCATACCACTCGGGCATGCTTTCTTGAAACCTGCTGTTCGGGGACATGCTGGACTATTCCGGTACCCATGAATACCTGAAGCTTCAAAACTTGAAGGATGATTTTGATACTTTTTCCCCTCAGAAAAACGTTCGTTTGCATATGCTCGTGAGCAGTCCATGAACAAGTTATCTTCTGTGTTCACCAGCTCTAAATCGTTAGGGAAGTAAAAAACAGTATTGTCTTCGCTCTGTTCGGCAGGCACCACAGCACTCGCACGTGATCGATAGAATATATCAACAGTTCCCAGTTTTTCTACATGCACCGTCTCCGAGACCTTATAGGGCTATACACCTTGAAAAGTTTGAGGATTCTAAAGCGTATGCAGCGATTTTGACGTCAGATCGCGAACTTCTCACGGGTCGTAGGGGCTCTAGCGGGTTACTAACCCGGACATTCCGTCACAGTAATTATCGGTCGCTCTAGGAAGCAAAAATTGGGAAAATAACTCACCAGCAGTCCGGCCTCGACGCTCGGTAACAGGATGATTTTCGCTCCTTCCACGACGAGGTTGTCATTCAGCGTGCCTTCGCGCAGCAATCTGAAGTTGGTAGGAGAAAAAAAAACGAAAATCAGGCATTGAACCATAGGCAACCGTTAGGAGGGCGATTTCTTTCAGGTAACTAGGTGTTACCTGGCACAGAACGACTGCAGCACCGAGTGCTGTGAAGGCTGTAATGGCTTCGCCCTCATGCCGGGTCTTGCGCAGTAGCTACTTTTATTCGAAGCATATAGACACCTTCATTGCTTTATATAAAAACGAATGACTTCAAGGAGACGACCGGAGTTCCCCCGTGAAAGAGAGGGAATAATCTTAATAGATTCCTGTGCATAGATTGTCGGAATCCGTGGAAAAAAGAGTTTGAAGGATAGTTTTTAATGTTCACTTTCGAACCGCTTCACATTCATGCCGCATAACGACAATTTTTTTTCGGGTTTATGGGAAATATCAAAGACATTTCAAAGACATTAAATTACCGTTCCGTGAAAAATGACGTTGGCATTCTTTGATTAAGATATCACTTGAGACTGCTAAAGAAGACACGAGTCGAACTTGAAGACATTTACAGCACTTGATTAGAAAGCTTCATAACTTTTGAAATCTTACGGGGCATCGCTCGCATGAAAAATTGCTTAATTTAGATTATCGAAAAGGGATTATCCCACATTTTCTCGAGGCATCGTAATGGTTTCTTGTGTTTCTCAAAAATTACAGTGAAAAATTGCAGTATGAGGGTTAGTTCTTAGATTGTTCTGCATTACATTTTGCTTTCTCGAGTCTTTTTACTTTTAAAAGAGGGCTCAATTATTACAGAGGAAAATATCATCTTATTATCTTTTCGTCAATTTTAACTTAGGTTTCAAATCATTTTTAAAAGGAGAAAATCAGAGCGTTTGAAGTACACTCAATCACTATGAGAAAATGAGTTTCATTCATCACATACATCGTTTTTTTTATTCTTCGGGAAATCCGCATGCTGTAAATTGTAAAATTTTGCTTGACGTCATTTGAGCATCCTTTCTCAGCAATAAATGCGCAAGATCTTGAAACCATTTTCAATTTAGAAAGTGTCTATGATCTTGCTACTGCATTTTAAAAAATGAGAAGCTTTCCTTACTTGAAGTGTGTTTTGGAGAACAAAAATTTTCCTGGATGATATGGCGGAAACTCCTTAAAATTAACAGAAGCTCGCTTCCAGCGGTCTTGTTAACGATCCCACAGTGGTCTGAAACTTGGGTTCTCGAAGATCTGTATTCCGAAATACTGATACTGTACAACTTTTCAACCCATGATATAAAATCTAAACCCGAAACCTAGATTTTCAAGTTTTTCTCGCATTATTGATCGCAAAGAAAGATATCAGATTATGAGGAATGTGAGCATGATTTTTTTATTTGTTCCACAATGTCTCAGGTAATTATTCCGCAGTGTTGGCTCCGATTTGGGGATCCCGCAACTCAAAGCATCCGGATTCCTGACGCCGTGAGATGACGAGAGTTCCCGTGCCGTAAAACAAGCTTGTAACCAAGTTACTGCGGATTATTAACTCCCGGATCCGAAGAAGGAAGAGCATTCTCGCGCATTCACCGAACATGCGAACCATTACGTACCTCGGGCCGTCGAACAGGCTTCTTTCGGAGGGCCAGAATAAAAATCAAAACGTCCGGAAAACCTCGGCAGTATGCTCCAGGACGCATACAGCGAGTCCATTGCGGAGTGGAATGAACCGTGCCATTCCCGCACGTACTACCGGTATAATGGGCAGCCTGGGAAACTAGATCGCCTTCCGGCGGTCCAGGTGTGATCAGATACTCGGCGCTGAACGCAGCCAACCCTGTTAAAACCTGACAATTAAGCCGAGAGCCGTCTGGGCGGCGCACAAGCGAGATAACGTGGAGTCGACCCACGCGAGGGAAACACAGCGGTTTTGCGCAGCAATGCCATGAATGGGTTGATCAGTCGCGGATACGGGTACATCGTGCTCAAATGACCGCTTGCCCAACCCAGGATTCATTCCACTGCTGCTGAACGCAATCGGGAAGTTTAGTTAACAGTATACAGTACTGTACTCCGTCGAAAACTGCCGAATAGCGACGGAGCAAGCTTCATAAACGCGATTGAATGCTTCATAAATTATTTTAATGAACTCGGACACCGTAAAATATTTACTCTTCATAAATTTTTCTGGAACGTCACGTAAAACTCCAAATGTATTCGCCCTCGATTTCCTTGAAAATTCCGGAAGTAAAAACAAATTATGGCGCTTTTGATGGAAAATCTGGTCGCAGTTTGGTCAGATTTACGCGGCAACCTGCGGTCATCTCTGATAAAACTTCACCCATCGAAAATCTGCAACGAAAAGATCGCAATGGAGATTTGCGCTAGATTTTACAAGCGATACAATTCGATACAACGGTTATCAAATCGTTTCGACGCACGATTAATTTCAGCGGGGTAATTGATTTTTACATAACACCGTCCTCATCAGTTTAGCGGAAATGCGGCTTTTCGGCACCCAACAAAAGTCCCGCGTGTCTCCACAATCCCTAATCGTCGAGACTAAAAATCAACTAAATCAGAAACAGATTTAGCAAAATATACATTATTAATTCTGTAATATAAATGTCAGCTTTAATGTTGAAGGATAAGCACTGGACATTTATGCTGCTTATTATTCAAGTTTCGGAACTTCATTTAATTTTTTTTCGCATTAAAACAAAGCATTTTTGAAGTCGTGAGCTGAAATGTGCGCCCACAAAAATGCTCCTGTTTGGTAACTCATGAAAAGACAACCCTCGTAAAAATTATTTGCAAAAATTGTTTTAATCAAACAAACAATTCAAAGTCATCGTGGAATTCTTATAGAAAACCCGTCGCGTTGCCGTATATAGTTGCGGGATTTTATTCATATACCGGCGAGATTTTATCCAGTTTTCGGCTATCAAAAGCTCCCATTAGTCATAAAGGTGACGAAGTTTAATAAAGGGAATTTCCTCAATTCCTTCGAAATGGCACTTTTCGATCCACTCAACCATATTTGGCCAATTACGACCCTTGGGAATCGACTGATGGACGAAATGAATTACTGTATAGGAAACAACCTGAAGTCTTATCTCATTCTGACCACCTTTCCCCGGATTACTCGTTCGTTGTCTCACCCCTTTCTAACTGAACAATAACGGAGCATTTCTCTTTTTTCCATGAATTCCAGATTAGTTTGCAGTATACAGTATATATGCAGTGTATATGTACAGTATACTGGAAACGTATGTCTGTTGGGTCACGATAATCGGTTTCTGATCTGGAATATACACTACGCGTTTCGTTCCCACGATTCACCGTTGACAAAAATCCTCGGCGAAGGTACAACTACGAGATACGAACAATAGTTTTCCTCACAGGAAACAAGGATGCGTAGTTCCAAGTGATATGAAAATGTGGGGCACTAAAGAAGGACTTCCTTCAAAATTTTCCCTCCTTATTCGACTTCTGTCTTATTGTTCGGAACTTATCGGCTTACCAACACCCGAGCCAAGTAACCTGACGCCACGGGGTACGTTAAACGATGAAGCACTTCGATACATGCCAAAGTATTATTTCCCCACGAATCTAAAGTCTAAAAATTTTCGAAAATGGCAGAAATTCAATTCAATAGTTACGCGCGTCAATTCACACTGTTTGGGGTGTTGATCAGACTGGTATTTGGGTATCGCGGAGCCTAAATGCACACAGCGATCAGTGTAGCGAAACCGAGTGAATGTCGAAAGCGGAACATTTGCCAATTTCTCCGGAACGTCCTGCTACGGACCGCCAATCTTTCGGACAGCGAGCACAAATCAACAGAACATGTTCAATTTTCCAGAGCACACCGCTGAAGAATCCGTATAATCCGGTTCGACCGATTTTTTAAGCATCCATATAACATCCTTTATGGCAACCTTATTCAATGCACGCAAATTAATCGATTAGAGCGTTCTTTCTGTCTGAAGCGAAGCATGCATTATCGCAAAGGTAACGTCCAGTACAGACGGTGATCTAAATGAAAAATTCAAATTTTGAAAGAGAGATCGTGTAGTGATTGAAGTGGACAAAAATATGAAGAGAACATTCATTGGCATATGTTCTCGCATGATCCCCGAAGTGTCGAGGTATGATGAAAAGTTTTAGACCGTCGCCTAATCAGTGCTGGAAGATGCAATAGTGCTCGTAACAGGGGAACCTTCCTTTCACAAAAATATTTCAGATCTCCGTCTCCCCCTTCTCCCCATTCCACCTTGGATAGGTGAAGTTCGGAATATTGGCCAAGAAATGTATGAGCATTACTGATGAATAAATTTGGGTGTGAATTTCGGAACCCAGGTGCGAAGGGAAGGCCTCGCAAAACTTGCGAAATTGCCGTCCCGAGCCTCGAAAATGCTTCGAGTCAGCGCCGATTTTCGGCGAGATTTGTGAAGGATGACACAATCGTTCACGGCTAAGTGAATGCCGACACTCTTCCGTGTACATATCGTTCCGACCGCATCTTCATGGTGTGCGAGTTCTCGAAACGCGGCGGCGGATTCGTGGCAAGTCCGCGGCCGGAAATCAAAAGACCGTGACGCCGGAAACCTATAAGCCGTGCGAAACACAATAAAGGAATACCGTTTTTCGCATACCTGCTCCGCCGAACGCAATGATCCAATTCGCACCATCGAGTTCCCCAACTGCAAACCCCGCGGACCGACTCATAAAAGAGCCCAGATAAAACGCTCTCGGCAATAAACCCAGTACCCCATTTCGGGTTCAATTCATCTCGACGAGATCGATGATCTAGAACTCTAGATAATGCTCTCGTACAGATCGATTCCTACTATGATACTGCATTGTAAGGATCGATACGACATTGATCCGGGTTCGGTGATCTTCACAACCTCAATTACCGTGAGTATTCATGCGAGTATCACGGCGCACCCTGATTTCGGACAACCATTTTATTCAGACGAAAATTTGCTAACCGCGAAAAAACGGAATATTTTGGACGGAAAAAATGTGGCCAATGAATGAATAACGAAAAGAACTGCTCATTGTCAGTAAACGTTTCACGAATAGGTTCTCACACTCATAAATAGTACAGTATATTGCGCCTAGGAATAATTGTCCGATGGTCGGGACAAATTGTGTGTTTTTTTTCATTACAGTATTTTATGCTTCCAGGAATAGTTCTTTCTTTCATCGCTGCCAGCACAAGTCTGAAATTTTTTATCGAATATAGGCGGTATTATTTGATAGCGCGGCCATGAATAGCGAGTATAGGCCGCAGGAACATACTTTTTAATTTGAGCCTGTTTGTTCGAGAAAAGTGCGGCCTATATCGTCGATAGAATGCCGGTATGTCTGCGTGCGCTCTTCGCCATAAATTTAGAACGAGAAAGACAGCATGTCAGTGATTCGGAATCGACCTGTAACGGCATCATTTCATTCCTGGAAAGCCACGAACTCAATTTAAATTCAATTTTTGTTTGAATCAGCGATAGCTTTGCGAATAAGATACTGTACCGTATACGTGAACCGGGATCGTGAGCAGTGAGAGCCTAACGCGAGAAAAGCAGGTCGATCACGGGGAAAACCTGCGATACTTTCTTGATTTTATGAGGTTGGAAAGGCTGATATATATTGGACAACTTAATATCTCCAATAACGACTATGTACAGTATAATCATTTTATGCCTTCAACTGAAGTTGAAAAATGTATCCGGTTAAGCTTAAGTGATGGACAATCAATGATGTGACAATTAGAAAATCAGGACTGGCAATATGCAGTCACACTCACAGATATGATTCGAAATGAATTCGCGCCTCCAATACGCAAATTAACACGCATTTTGCTTTACTGAAAAATAATCCTGAAGATCAATTTATGGAAATTTCCACTCTTTTCTCTCCACGCGACTGAATGTGCTTGAAAGGCAAGATCACCTTAAGAATACGACTGTATAAATATTGAGCGAGGACTCGTGAGCTTCAGGAGAAGAAAAAATGCATGCATCATATGACTGGAAGGATGAGCGTAAAACAAATTTTAAATGACAAACATTGTTTGGGTAAATATATGGACACGTCGATGCCAACGTTTTTGTTTTATTACGAAACTTTTCGCCATGACACATTGACAAGATTTCCCTCATCAGTCAAGGTTTGGGAACATGGATTTAAGCTGAGTATGGATAAATATAGCTTACACCACAGTCTTCGTCCGAGGTTTTCTTTGAATTTTTAGTCAACCGTGTCACGTGTATAGTTGAGTGTTTGGAATTGAATTAATTCACAACAAATTTCCGGTCCCTGATTAATAGTGGCGTTTCTTTGCACTGGAAATTAAATCTCTTAGGTTAGGTGATATTCCATTAGTTAAATGTCTGGGCTTGACATTTCTCTGCGATGAGACAGTAGCCGTCCATATCAGATGCATCGTTGACTGATGGAAAATTAAATTGTCTTCATTTCCAAAAAACAAATTTGCGAGCGTCATGGTTTTGATCCTGGTGTTTTTTTTTTCGACTGTACAGTCATCTCACATGGAATGTAGCGCTTTATTGACTAAATTTCTTGCCTCAACGTTCGTATGTGAAGGAACATTAAGGTATTTTCCCTGCTAGAATCGTGGAAAGTAGAGCATTTTTCGCGGAAAGTAGTGCTTCTTCGATTAGATTTCTCGGGTCAACGATACGAATTTTAATCGAGTTAAGGGGCCAGACGTCGACCAATATCTCCCCCGCTGAGGAACATCAAACTTTTCCCAATCTTCCCTAGCACACTCGACTGCGCTGATGGCTGGCACATTTTCCCAGTTTACGATATCTTGAAAGATCGCGTGAAAATGAGAGGACATCACTGCTGATGTGACGCGTTTTGTTGTGTTTTTGTTTTTCAAGGCTCCGTCCGCAACGGCAGTGGCGTGCTGGCCTGCGAGGGAATCAGGGCCAAGATCGCAGTAGCTCGCAACCACCTCATCAACGGCCAGCACGAAGGAGGACA